AGCGCCGCGCCGCACTACAACTCCCGGCATGCCTCGCGGCGGCGCACCCGTTTCTAAGGCAACCGCCGGCCGGCGAGGCGGGAGCCAGACTCTTCCCCAGCGGGGTGGGCGGGGCGGAGCGATGGCTTCCCCTCCCCATTGGCCGGGCGGCGGGTAGCGCCGGGCCTCCATTGGCGGGAGCGAGTGTCAATCGCGGCGCGGGGGCGGGCGCGGCGCGCGGCGGCGATGCCGGCCGGCGATTGGCCCGGGGGCGGGGCCGGGGGCCGAGGGGCGGGGCCGGGGGCGGCTGCGTCATGACTCTGCCAGCTGATCCGGGACGGAGCCGGCGCGGCGGGGGAGGCGGTGGCACCGGCACCGGGAACAGGGACCCGGCACGGCCCGGGCGGCACCGGTGGGACCGGACCCGCAGGTGGGTCCGCCGGCACCGCGCTGGGGCGCGCGGTAAGAGCGGCCGAGCCCCCCGCCGGTGTGCCGGGGGTCGAGGGGCTGCGCCCCACCGGGGACGGGAAGGGACGGGAAGGGAAGGTGACCTTCCCCCCGGAGCAGGGCGGCCGTGGGGGCCCGGCGCGGCGCGTCCCGTCCCTCCCCTGGCCTCGCGGCGCCGCCCGAGCCGGGCGGCCTCGCCCCCGGTGGTGTCAGGGCGCGGTACGGGGGGGGTTTGGGGCCGGGGCCCGTGCGCGGCCCCCGCGCCGGGGGGTGTCCCGGTGGGGCGGGCGGAGCCGCGGCCGGGGCTTCCCGCGACGGGCGGTGGCCGCCCCGGGGGTGACCTTCACTCCGGGACCGGGCTGGGCAGACTTTGACCTGAGGCCGCTCCCGCCGCGGGCACGGGCCGGAGCATCCCGGGCGGCGGAGGGGCGGGAGGGGCGGCGGAGGGTCCCGGGGGGAGCGGAGGGAGCGGCTTGGCCGTGGAGTGGCGGCGGCGGGGAGCGGTCTCGGTTAGAGGGGGATCGGGGGTGTTGGTTTTACCGGGAGGAGAGGCTCTGGTGGAGGGGGGTGACCCGGTTATACCGGGAGGGGGGCACTGGCTGCGGGCACAGCGGGTTTTATTAGCGGGGCGAGCTCCCGGCGGGGCCCCTCCCAGAGCCGATGGGGTCTGTCGGTGCCGAGGAGGGGTGGGTGGGAGCCGTGTTACCGTCAGCCCCCCCCTCATCAGCCCCCGGTGCCGGCGGGGCCGGTGGCTCAGCGGCGGGTGCTGATTCACGGGCCGGCGGGGGTGGAGCAGGGCCGGGACCAGCTCACTGGAATCCGGACCAGATGTACCCGGCACGCCAGGAATGCTCGGCATCCCCGCCGGGCCCCGCCGCCGCCGCTGCGCCCCGGCCACCGGCCCCGCACCGGGAGCTTCCCCGCAGCCCCGAACCGGGGTCCGGCTGCCCCCGCCGCCCACCGAGGCCCGGGACCAGCCGGGGTCCCCCGTACCTTTGGGGTGACGCCGGCGGGAGGATGTTGTGCTGGTCCCCGGGGAGTTTCCCGGCGTTGTTTGTCCCCCCACCCGGTCCATCTCTCCACCCCGCCAGGCCCGGTTGCCTGGGGGTTTTCCCAAAACTCAACCCCCAGTAGCCAAAACGCTGGGTTGGTGTGGAAAGGGGACTTTTCCCGGGCTGAAGGGGAAGCAGCGGGGTCTCACACCAGCCCTGGGGGTTGACGTCCTTGCCCTCCAACAAAATGACTCGGGGTGGGAGGGAGGGGGGGAAAAAAAAAGCTGCACTCCCCAGAATTCCCCCACCGGTGGCTTGGCAGCAGCTGCCTGACAAAGTGTCTTCCCCGTCAGGAGGCTCCTGGCCCCTGGCCAGGTGGGACCCTGCCAGCGCCGATGGATGCCCGAGGTGAGCCGACAGGGAATGCCATAACCCCTACCTGCAGTGGCCTCCCTGCCCTGCCTGGAGCAGGCTTTCTTATCTCTTATTTTTCCAGCAAAAATGGCCTTGGGTTTCCCGTCGCTCGTAGTTTAGGGCCAGCTGCAGGTGCTGGAGCTCACGCACCGCCTGCTTTGGGAGAGGGAAGGGTTGAGGTCGGAGCTGCCTCTGGGTTCCATGCGATGGGGGGGATTTCAGCCCTGAGGAGCTTCCTTGGGGGGAAGAGAAGGTGGTAGATCAGGATCTGGTGTTGGGGTGGGGGAGAGGAGCAGCCCTGGCTGCTGTGGGTGATGGCTCGGCGTGGTTTGATCCTGGCTCTGATCCATGTATTTTCTTTCCAGGTGCTTCCATGCCCCCCTGCTCCTGGCTAACCAGCACCAGTTCTTCAGTGGCAAGCTTTATGTCCTTCTCCAGTAGCTAAAGCTGCCAGTTGAAGAACTGTTGAATGTAGCCACTCTCTTCTTGTCACTGGGACCTTGGATGCCAGCCAGACTTGCGCCCTGAGCAACCAAGATCAGCCAGTCTGAAGCGTCCTGTGGATTTGAGGGCTGAGGATGAGTCCAGCTGGGATGAAGAAGTCTCCCCACAGCCTCCAGACAGAGCCTTGGCTGGGGGGTTGCCAGGCAGCCCTGTCAGCGGGGTCCCGCTGCAGTGGGGTGTCACTGAGCTGAGAGGAGACCAAAAGAGGCATTAAACTTTCTGTTTTGCTCAACAGTTCAGTTTTAGGAAGTTTGTACCCATGGGGTGGCTGGACTTGCCTGATGGGTAGATGGTGGGTGTTGTAGACCCTTTGGGATGATGGGGGGGCCACAGCACCAGAGCTCAATCCCTGATGCCACGCTGGGGTCTGCAGATGGAGGGTTGGATGTTCAGGTCCCCTGGGTTTGCCCCAAGCCAGAGGTGAGCCAAGGCTGGGCGTAGCCCACAGGTCTGACCTGCTGTTGAGCTCAGGAGCTGGATTAATCCTGCAACATTGCAGGCAGTGGGATGGAGCCTGGGGAGAGGGCTGGCTCCACACCCACGCTGCCCTGGTGCGGGGCCGGGTGCAGTGGGGCTGGGCCACTGGGAGAGGGTGACTCAGGTCCGAGTCACGCGCGGCTCTGGAGCCTCTGGACGTCTGTTCCCGGAACCACTGTCTGTCCTGCGAGGCTGGGCAGCCCTGACTATGGCTGGCCCTGGGGCAGCACCAGGATTCCAGGTATTTTGGAGCCAGCAGCACTGAGAGGGGCCCAGGTGAATCTTGCAAGGCTCCTCCATGGTCCAAGCTCTGCCTCGTTAGTGGATAGAAGCAGAAGACTGCTCTGAAAGGAACCTGGAAGCTGCTCTCCAGGGATGGCGACCCCTCCCTGCCTTGCACTGAGTGAGAGAGAAGCTCTGCGTGGCCACAGCAAGGGCTCCAGGGAGCCTCTGCACTCCAGGAGGTGCCTTTCCCACGGGTCTGCCAGGACCACCACCCCCCAGGCTGCCTTGGTGGCTGGGAATCAGGGGAGTGTCCAGGCACTGCTGCTCGGGGCCTGCCAGGAAGAGCACAGCTCATCCCAGCTCTGAGGGCGGGCAGGGAGGAATGGCCTGTGCTGAAATGTCTGCACAATCTCAACTAACTCTGCCTGCTTGGGCTCCAGCTGCCCAAGGCAGGGCTGTTCCCAATTTTGGCACCCAGCAAAGCACAGAAAGCAGCCTGGTGTCCATTAAGTGGTAGAAGTGGAGCAAATCTGTTGTCCTGGGGTCTTTCCTTCTTACACAGAGCTGCGCTTCTTGGCGTGTGCTTCCTGATGGCTACGAGAAGCTGAATTTCTTTGGGGTGGTTGTCACCCAGAGGGAGTGGGGCTGCTGAACCCTCTTGGGATTAGTTCCTCCAGCTTGAGGCAGAGCCTGTCTCTTCCACTACAGCTGCCCTGCTGCAAGTCCATACAAAACAACTGGCACCTGCTCAGTGGCCAACACCTCCTGGAGTGCACTGAGGGGGCAGAAAGTCGTGGGGGTGTGTGTGTGCAGGGTGCCCAAGGGCAGGGAGGAGCAGCTTCCTGGGCTTACTCCCCTTCCCATGCAGCACAGCTTGATAGAGATGGGAGCTGGTGCTCTGGCCACCAGCACCTCTTCCCTTGTGTGCCTCGGGATACAGGGAATGCATAAATTTGTCGTGAAGGAACAACCTGTGCTGCTGAAACCCCACGGTAAGATGTGGCTATTTCAGGGCGGAGAGTTGCCCTGAGCAGAAGCACCGAGCCCACGGGGTCAGGAAATGCAGAACGTCATATTTCAGATCAAATTCATATGCGAGAAGGTGCCAGAGGGCAAGTTTGTGTATTTAACACAAAACCAGTTCTGCAGTATCTCACCTGCTGAGCAGAGGGCTCAGGCTCTGGCTATCCTGCAGCTCATGTAAAACCAGAGGGGTTTTAGGCTGACAGTAAATGTCCCTGTGGGAACTTGCCCAGCTCCCGGGACTTACCCTTCCTCTTGCAAAGCCCCATGTGACTGCTGAGTAAGTGCAGGGTTTCCTGTAGAAAGCACAGCCTCGCTCGCTGTTGCCTTGCAAAAAACTCGATGACTCTTTCCTCCAGCATCTGTCCACCTCCCCGAAGCATCCAGCACGCAGGGACGTGGCAGGAGAGGGGATGCTGACTGGAGCTGGGATTTCTCTGCCGGAGGCTGGCTGCTGTCAGGGTGGGAAGCGCTCGCTGCGGCAGCTAATGCAATATTCAAGACGGCAGTGACAATACCAGCAGGTGCTGCTGGCTCAGAGGTCGGGTGGCATTTCTGCCCCTTAGGGGCAGGGTATTCCGTGCGAGTTCTTGCGCCCAGACCACCCTGTTCCCAGCCGGGAGAGCAGCTTGTCTCGCTCACAGCTCCCCTTGCTGGGGAAATGTGCTTTTGCAAAGGAGAAGGTCAGCGTGACCGGTGTGCTGGATGAAAGCTCCCTGCCAACAGGGAAGGAACAGGAGGAGCTGGTTTTATCTGTGGCGAGTGGATCTGTGGATGTGTGGTGGCTGCTGCCTGCACAGACTCCCAGCTAAGCCTCAGGCCACGGGCAACCTCCTCTTTTCCAGCCCAGCAGATCACTAGAAGAAGAGGGAAAGCTCTGCTGTGCTTTGCCCCAGCACACGAGCGAGGAGCGAGTCTGCAAACACAAAATGCAGGTGCTGATTTTGGCTTTGCTGATGGTTTTATTTCTCCAGGACAGGAGGATGTGGAGCTGTTAACCCTTGGGTATGTGCCCCTCACAGGGGCAGGTACCAAGCTCAGGTTTGTGCCAGTGACGTTATGTTGCCGATGTCACAAGCCCTGCAAACAAGAGGAAGGTTGGGGATTTGCTGAAACTCACCCGGGCTTCGTGTCTCTCAGTGGGCTCTGCTGGCATGGGGAACAGCACAGAGCCACCCACCAGCTCGGCCAGGCTGTCACTTACTCTGCTTCTTCTTTGGAGATTAGTTTCCCCAAGTACAAAACTTCTGCAATGAGAGACACCATGGGGTCACAGTTCAGGCTGGCAGCTGCTGTCACATGGCCATCCCTGAGAGGGAAAGAGGAAGAATGTGGATCTCCTCAGTGTACATAGCTCAGCACAGCAGCGTCCTCGTGGCACCCTGACTGGAGACCAGCTGTATTTCAGAGGGCTCAGAGCAGAGTGGCTGGTGCTGCAGGATGCACAGGGACTTGTGGCAGATCGGCTGGCACTGCTGGGAGCTGGGCACTGAGCCTGGGAGCAGCAGGGCAGAGGGAGAGGAGACGTGTCCCAGGCTCCCTGCCCAGCTGGTGTCTTCATTGAAGCTCATCCTCTTCTCTTTCCCTGCCCTGCTTTGGTTTTCTCTGGAACCGTCTCACTGCTGGTTCAGCGCCCAGCAGCCACAGGAGGTGATGTGGAGCCTCTGCGGAATCTCTGCAGGCTGTAAGGGAGAGAACCTTGCCCTGTTCCCGCAGCAGTGCTGTGTCAGGGCATGGACTGGCCATGGATTCACTCACCTGAGGTAAAAGATCAGGAACTTCTGTTGCTCCAGGCTGCCCTTCACAACAGTGTCCGTGTATCCCTTTCCACAGCCTGTGAGAGAGAATGTCACAGCCAGCTCAGGGAGCCCTGGTACAGCAGCTGCCGCCCATCCCACCTCAGAGCCATCACAGGTAGGGACAGAGGGCACAGTGACTGGCTGGGGCAGAGCTGGGGAGCAGGCATGAAGGCCCTGGGCAAGCAGAACTGATGCAGAGCTGCACAACTGCATCATGACCCTGAGACTTTCCTTGGCTCGGAGAGGGAGGTCCTTCCGCCTTTGTGACCTCTAAGCTACTCGAGATCAGCAAAGAACAAGAGCTCTGGGTAATGTTCAGGCCCAGAGCTTGAACTCACCATGCCAGCCAGCCCAAAACTTGAGCTGCTTCAGGTGAACTCTGCAACCACCGTGTTTACAAGCCCAGACCCAGCTGGTGGGTGAGCAATGGGCAGGGAAGAAGTTCTGCCGTTCCCATCTCTCTGCCCCCTCCTACCTGCATAGCGGATGCTTTTCCCAAGCAACGTGGTCCAGAAGAAGGGAACAGTGTGCAACTCCTTCTCTTTCTTCAGCATGTTTAAGGCAGCAACGTGACCTGTGATGAGCCAACAGAGGAAATATTTTTCTCGAAGATGCTCAGAGAAGTGTTCTCTGCCTCTTGTTATCCTGCCCTGTCCCTGGTGCCCCATTCCCTCCTCCAGGGGAGCTGGAAAGTGAGGTGGCTGAGCTCTCACCGTGGGCCTCAGCCACTTGTTGGTGATGGATGCTGGACCGGTCCCCGTTGAGCAGCGCTACTGGAAAGGACACCACGTCCCCCGCAGCGAAGACATTTGGGATGTTGGTTTGCATGTGCTAATGGGACAAAGAGCAGTTAGTGCAAGGATGAGAGTGGAAGGATGGTGTTGGACCTGGAATACTCGTCTGGCACTCACCAGATCCACCAGGATGGCACCTTTGTCATCTCTGGCAATGGAGGTGCCCTTCAGAAATGCTGAGCTGGGGGTCGACCCTGCAGGGAGAGGAGCAGGGACAAAAGGCAGGGAGGAAATTTGGTCCCACAGCAAACATGTGCCTGTGCTGCCTGCTCAGCCTGCTCAGAGCAGAGCACTTGCTCTGTTCAGCACTCAGAGCACGAGCTGCGCTTGGGCTGGTGCTGAGCTAATCCAGGGGCAATAAAACCAGGGCCCAGGACACGGCACGCTCCAGTAACACAGCAGTGACCTATGGAGCTCAGCAAGTGAGCCAAAGGTGCTCTGAGAGTGTAACTGGCTCCCTTCCTCCAAGGCCAAGTGCTTGTTCATGAGCTGCTGACTTTCTGCAGGTGTTTGGGGCCAGGAGGAAGGGCTGGATGATAACAGAACGGGAAAGAGACTGCAGGGAATGGTGTCCTGGGAATGAACTGTGGTGTTCTGGGCTTGCTGACTGTTCTCCCCATTCCCAAAGAGCCTCACTCTCCCAACTGGGGTCTCTTACCTATTCCCACCACTACCACATCTGCAGGTAATTTCTCTCCGTTGGCAAGAACAGCCTCTGCGACCTAGGAGAGAAGGAAGAATCATTAATAAAGGGTTAAAAACACTGTCCTAATTCCGGCAGCCTCCCTGCTGCTTCATTCTTTGCTGTCTTTTTTCTTCCCCAGGTTCGGATCACCTTGTCCAACCAATGTTCGTTGCTGGGAATGTAAAAGAAAATCACACTGCTGTCCCTGAGAGAGGAACACTTACTGGTGCCCTTTGAGCCCAGAGCTGTACTCAGTGAAAAGAAAGGGAGGGTCTAGACATGGGAGAGGACAGCTGAGATGCAGACACTGGGTTATACCTCTGTTTGGGTTTTTTTCCCCTGAAATTAGCAGTTCAGGGATCACAGAGGCATGACTGACCTTTCCATACTTTCCTTTCAGCTCACAGAGTTCTGATTTCATGTGGAACTTCACCCCTTTATTTTCCAGCATCTGAAAAGGACTGGTTTCAGTATTCATTAGGAAATTCCAGGCTGTACTGCTATAAAAACAGCTCTGCCCAGCCAAAACCCAGGCAGGCAGCACAGCTGCTGCTCCAGGCTGCAGAGAGGTTCCATTTGTGTCCCTGGCTGGTGCAGGGACCCTGGAAGCCTGGCTTTTCTCTGCAGTCTCAGTCAGGACTGGTGTGTGAGGTGGGTTTGGGATGAAGCAGGGCCAGGGAATGTGATGTGTGTGTGGGGAGGTTGGGACCAGCCATGTGTGAGGCTGGTGCTGGGCACACAGAGTTATGACTCAGCACAGGGGCGAGGTTTCCTGGGCTGTTGTGGATCACTGGGCTGCCCGGATAATGTGTGTTCTCCCTCCTAGAAATTAGTGCCAGGTTTTCCCAACCTTCATGGCGACGCCTCCAACCTGAGGACCCAGAGCGTGCTGGAAAGGGAACTCCTCTCTTTCCACCACTGAGATGGTACCAGCCTTGTCTGAGAGGAAGGCAGCCACCTCCATTCCTGCAAGGGAAAGGCATGCCCAAGGTAAGCCTGCTGCAAGCATCAACCTGTATCCTCCTGCTTGGAAATCTTTTCCCCTTCCAGGAGAGCAAATCTGATGTGTTGCCAGTGCTTAACTGCTTTGCTATGCATTTCTGGGCTGAGGTATTTAGCTCCCCACTGTCTTTGTTCTTGTGCTCTACAGACCTGTATATTAGGAAATGCAAAGAGCAGCTCCTGGTTTTGAACAAAATAGCTCCCTTTCTGTGCCTTGTCTCCTCGCTTTCCCAATGCTTCTGAGGAATCCAGCTCCTCTGAAGGACAGTGACCTTTTATAAGGCACATTTCCCTCTGTCCTTGTGCAGGAATTGTTTATAGCTCTCAAAGTTTCTGGCTATCAGAGGAAAGAATGAGTGGGTGCTGTGTAATGCACACCCCCAGCAGCTACAGGGCTCCGGGGAGGATCCCAGCTGGGTAGAAAATGAACATCCCTTCCCTGAGGGCCTCTGGTTAATCTGCACAGGCAACAGAAGTGCTCACTGATAGCTTGATACCCACTCCAGACTGGTACCTACGAATGAAGCTCCTACGATCACCAGATTCTTCCCAGTTGCCAGCTCCAAGATCTTGCTGGAGTCTTCCGGGGTTTGGAGAATGCACACGTTCTGCAGGTCAGCACCTGGGACTTTGAGGAAGCTGGAGCTGAAAGAGAGAAAATCCAGATGCACCCCATGATCAGAAATTAAACAGAAAGAACCAGGAGGGAGCACAAGCCCGTGGCTGTGTCATCCCATTCTGTCCTTTCATCTCATTTCCTACCACCTCCCTCACACAACTCCAATTCCACATCCCAGTGTTGACCCATCCTGTCCTGTCTGAAATTCTGTGTGTGGCAAATGCTTTGTGCACTCACTGGCTGCCTGTTGCAATGAGCAGCTGATGGTATTTCTGAGAGGAGCCATCCATGAAGCCGACCTGCTGCTTCTGGAAATCCACCCACACTGCCTGCAGAAGAGAGGAGTCAGAGATCAGGCAGGCACCTCTGATCCACTGGTGTCCTGCCTGTCTTGCCTGTGGCTGTGTGCCTTGTTTCTGGACACTCAGGTGAGATGAGGGATGCTGGGGTCCTCTCTCCCACTTCCTAAAGGTTCATCCACGGGCTGCACAGACCAGTGTTACACCCAAAGTATGGATACCATCCGTAGCACTGGCCTGGGAATGCTGTCCCAGAAGATAATACATGTATTTAGGAGAGCTCTAATTTATAGAATCATAGAATGGTTTGGGTTGGAAAGGGCCTCAAAGACCATCTCATTCCACCCCCCTGCTGGGGGTAGGGACACCTTCTGCTATCCCAGGTTGCTCCAAGACCTGTCCAACCTGGCCTTGAACACTTCCAGGGATGGGGCAGCCACAGCTTCTCTGGGAAATCTGTGCCAGGGCCTCACCACCCTTATAGTAAGGAATTTCTTCCCCTCACCATGGCAGGAACAGGATCAACCATTGAAGACTGAGCTCAGCTTCTCTGGTACCTCTTTCTCTGTCCAGAACTCTATGCCCTGAGCATCAAGGAATTCAGGTGTCCTCAGGTAGGCGTCCTCAGCTTTCAAGTCCATTTCCTGAAAACACAACAGAAATGTGAAATAAAGCACTTCTTACAAACAGCAATTTTCCTTCAGTGTTTACTGGTAAACCAGTTTGCATAAGAGGTAAATTTCCCACTAGTAAATCACAGCTCCCCACCATCCCCAGCCTCTTGTTCTCCCTCAGAAAAACCATCAACTCAAACTCTAGTGGGAAGAACTCAGCAAAAGGAGAGAAAACCGTCAACTTGTGGTGGACTCTGATCAAAGACTTTCTGGGAGGGAGAAGTGAGATGTTTTCTGGAAATTTTACCCCTGTTCCCTGTGAGTACCTCAGCACTCCTGCTTTGCCAGCACGGCTCACTTAATTGCTCAGCCTGGCCCTCAGCGTGGGCCATGTCCCACGTGGTGCCCAGGCACAGTCCTTGCCCTTGTCACACACAAACCTTGCTCAGTTTGGACTTGTCGTATGGAACGTGTTTCTCTTTGGTGGCCATGATGATCCTGCCAGTAAAACCCTCCTGGCGAAGCGTCTCTGCGCACACCAGGGCAGCCACACCTAGAGGAGATGCTCATCTCAGCCCTCTTACACACCACCGTGGAGTAGGAGGAGCAGGTAAGCCCTCCCTGGAGAAGAGAGTGGCAGCTCACAGCGTGTGTGGAGAGGGCACAGCACAGAGCCCTTCACTGACCTCCCCCCAGCAGCAGCATCGTGTTCTGGTTGACAAGGCACCGCCTGCTTCTGTCCTTCACCCTCTGGCTGTTTTTGAGGTCCTAGAAAAAAATGAGAAATGCTGAAGTCATGCCCAGCCCAAGGTGCTGCTTGTGCTCAGTGGCAGCAGGTAAGGTCAGTACCTTCTTTTTTGCTGTAACAAACACCTTTCCATCTTCCACTGTTACCTGAAGGGGGCAAGGAGAGGGCATTTAAGTGCTGCATCCATGGGCTTGTGGTAGGAGCTCACCTAACTCTGATTTTGGATGTCAAATGATGCTGAGGAGCTCATGAGCTTTCCTCCTCATCCCAAGAGCACTCAGGAAGAGGGGTAAATCCTTTTTTTCTTCCCAAAAGAGCTGTGCTGGCTGTGAGGGACACCAGGATATATGGCATCACCTTTGATTCAAAGGAGCTTTAGGGCAGGGAGTTACATGATCCCAAGAAATCATCCCATGTGTTGTAGCTCTGTATGACCTGGACCACGGAGGGGTGGCCAGGGCAGGGGCCTTTCAGTTGGTGTCAGGAATACAGAGCTTGTGAGAGAGAATGAATGTGAGAGGTGCAGAGGACATGGCCTGAGATGGGAGGAGAAAAAGCCGAGAGGTCACCTTAAAGCAGGAGATACAGTCCAGAGAAGGGTATTCCTCGATGTCTCCAGTTCTGATGTTAAAGCAGGCGCCGTGCCAGGGGCAGCGCAGCCTCTCCCCTCTCAAGACCCCTGCAACAGAAACCCCCCACAGCTGGGCAGTGAGAACTGATCTCCTCAACGTGGCTTCTCCCCCTGCCCCGAGCTGGGGTTACCTTTGCTGAGAGGGGCACCGTAGTGGGGACATTTGCTGCCCAGGGCACTGAACTCCTTCCTGTTCCTCACCAGCAGCACTGGGTAACCAGCCACCATCACTTCCAGGAGCCTGTGGGAGAGGTGGGGAGGTGGGCACACAATCACCTGGCTCCCCACCACCACCACCAGGTACTCACTCTCCATCCCCAACGTCCTCCTCCCTGCAGACCTCGGCGGTGATGGTGTCGGTGTCATCGCTGTCCATGCCGGTGGCTGCTGGGAACTGGTCAACACCGGGCACTTAAGGGGTCCCAAATTCCTGATACAGCACGAAAAAACCCTCAACTGGTGGAAAACACCCATTTCCCCCCCTTTTTTAACTTTGTGTCCAAACCTGAAGTCCATTCCTCTGTCCTTTTCTCCTCTGACTTAACCCACTTCTTGTTTTCAGCCCTGTGTCCCATTAAACTCGACTGCAGTACAGGGTTAGTCAGGAGATATGATTAATGACTGTTGTAAATAAATGCAATTATTTATGGGGAGGTGCTGCTGCCTTATCCCCTGTCTCCCCCAAATTGGATCTAAAGAGCCACTTCAGCATCTCCAAAACCTCTCTAAAATTTTTGCAGAGATGTTATTCATGCTAATTACCATGAAAGCACTAATCCCTGCCCAAAATACCTCTTGGGCTAGAAAAGTGAGAAAATCCTTGGTCCTTAATGCTCTCCCTGCCTTAGCAATCAGTTGAGAGGCTGATTAGGAATCTCCCTCTCTGTTTTGGAGAAAAAAAAAGCAAGAAATGGAGCAGAGTGGGGGCCATTTGAGGCAGGTTTCAATACAGGGTGGTGACTTGCTCCTGCAAATCCCCGCCGCTACACTGCCCCGCTCCCAGGGCCCTTGAGAGAAGCATTGGTGGGTACTCACCTGGTCCTACTGTAGGGGTTCTGTCACCTGTCCCCCAGCTCAGAAAGCCACCACCGCTGCCATCTGCGACTTTCTCCTCTGAGGTGACACCCTGGTGTCTCACCACAAGCGCTCTGCCCGCTGCCAGCCCACGGCTGGTGATGCTCTCCCTGCGTTGCACAATGTCCCCATCCGTCAGGAGATGCATCTCCTGGAAGCGGCCTCCTGCCAGGGAGTTTTATCTGATTTCTGCAACTGGTCTGTGCCTAATTAAGTGCATTTTGCTTGGGTTTAGAGTTGCAAAAGAACTGAGGACACATAGGAATTATGGCGCAGGTGTGGTGTGAAGACAGGGTGCGTCATGGGCAGCATGAACAGAAACTCGAGTGGATGCAGTGACATCCCACTGCAACTTTCCACTGCCCCTTCTCCCGATGAAAAGCACTCCAGCTCAACAAAACATGTTTTTGCAGCACTTCAGAATGATATTACTACTTTTCACATACTTCAATAACATTTAAAATTCCTTAATTCGATCTTTCAGTAAGATTTTTCTCCACTGATTTTAAGGCACATGAAATGTTCAGCACCTTTGCACGTGCCTTACGGCCCAGCTCTGCTCCTGGTTCAGTCACCAGTGTCCAGGCACACCATCCCATCGTTGCATGGAGCATGAAGGATGGCACGGAGCAGGGTGCTGCTTTCTGTACTATTTTTTACAACAGAGTGGGAGTTGCAAAAAACCAGGAGTAACGCCTACGCTGTTTGTGTCTACTCTCGTTCTTATCTCTATTTCACAGTCAATATGTTTCACAACTTTAAAACATGCCTTAAATATTAAGGGGGGGAAAAGTTACCAACAGTGTGCTTTCAGCATCTCCCTTGCAGAACCAGAGGTTCGCAGGGATCAGCTTTCTGCAGGTGGCACGTTCCCAAATCCAGCAGTGGGGGGGATAAAAATCCTTTGGTGGGCATGGCCTGGAGAAGATGGCAGGCACAGGTATGCTGGGTAAGTGCAAGCTGGCTCGTTTGGGAAGCAGGTCACTTTTTTGGACCCACCAAGCTGTGACCCCCCCTCCTTCAGATCCAGGTGCTGGGACGCTGCCGGGTATGGATGATCCCGGCCCACGGGGGATGCACGCCCACAATGGGCACGGGTGTGAGGTATTTTCTCACAGCACCAATGAGCAGCTTCTGGGCTCTGCCCTCCTGGCCAGGAGCCTGAATGTGAAGCAATTTTGGCTGCCAAAGGTCCGTATTTAAACTCTCTGTAATTATTCCCCCAGAAGCGCGTTCCCACGTGGAGAAGCAGCAGCCCTTGTGGAGGCATTCTCTGACTCAGCAGAAATCACTGGAGAAATGTCTGCTCAGGGATGAAAGCTGCAGTGCACAGGCAAAGGGGCAGGTACAGAGGTGTGCAGCTTTGGGAGGCTTTGGGATGAGCCAGGTGGAGCTTGATCCTATATGATGGCATTGGTATTATGGGGCTGGTTTGGCCGCTGGGTGCCCATGGATGCTGCTGGATGCTGCTGGATGTGGCTGGATGCAGCTGAGCACCCGGGGAAGGGTTTTTGTAAAATGCAAAGGGATAAAGGCAAAACAAAAAGCCCATCTCTGATAGAGGCAAAGATGATGGCAAAGAATAGAAAGTGGAAAAGGGTGTTGGATGTCAGAGGGCGGGTTTGGGTTGGCTGCAGGGATGCTGGGTTAGTGTGTGTGAGAGCCAGCACTCAGGAACACACACAATCCCCTCCAGGGATTCAGGCAGCGGGATGGGATTGGAGGCAGATTTTCAGGAAGATGCTCTGTAAGCATCTTTTGGCCCTCTGTTAGGTAACCCAGAGGTAATTACTCAGAGTGGTTTAGAACTCTGCTTGTAACACACATCAGGATTAAACATAGGAAGGAAGAGAGCAAAAGGAAGTGGTGCCCTCAACCACAAACAGAGCCCAGGTGGGCATCGAATGCCTCCAACCAGACCTGCCACCCACATTGGTGCTGACTCACATGGGCTGCTGAGCTGACTTTGTGTTTTATTAGATATCTTCACTTTTGCTCTCCAGCTTTGCCAGCACTCCAGAAATTCAAGTTTAGAGACGAAGATTTAAGGGGTGTAACTCTCCTCCCTTCAAGCCCCCTGCTACCTCCTCCCTGCTACACGAGCTGGTGTAGCACATTTTTTCACACTGTAAAGCAGTTGTGGCTCTGTGGATGTGTCCCTGTCCCACCTTTGCCTGTCCCCAGCTTGCCCAGCTCAGGGCCCTTCCCTGCCCTGGCAGACCTGCCAGTTTTAACGAGCAGTACCCACAGAATCAAATCATATGAAAACTGTGCAGTTGCAGGAAGAGGAAGCGAGGTGAAACCTGCAGCAGAGCTAAAATGATTAATGGGGCACTGCTCTCAGAACAGCTTGGTTTGTGATATTAATAACGAGAGAATTCAGGAGGGAACCTAACCTGTTCCAAGCTGCAGAGCCGGCAGCAGCAGGAGATGCAGTTAGGAAGCTCCTGTGCTTATATTTGTAACACAGGAGGAACTGAGTGGGCTCAGCAAGGTATAATGCTGCATGAAGTGGGTGTAGGGGCTGGGACATGCTTCCACCTTGGAGGACTCATTCTGAACCTGTCTGAAATGCAAAAAATCCCATGTAATCATGTATACATCATGATGTAACCTTAAAGCACATATATATTCATCAAACATTACTTAAGCTTGAGACTGGTGAACAGGTAAAAAATGTTTATCCCACAAGGGAAGAAGACAAGGGAAAAGAAATATTTAGTGGGAATTCATTTGCTTATAGGGTAAAAATAATTATATGTGGTGTTTCACATTCTCTTCCTAAGCATTCGAGTCTGGCAATGGTGAGAGATGGGATACAGGCCTGGCAGACACCTGGCCCCACCACAAGGAAAGAAGGAACCTGAAATCTTACTAATAGACAAATCTGGGGCATGCCATCTACTGAAAGCAGAGGAGGACTGTAAGGATCTGCCCATCCTGCTGTGCTTGAAGGAGTTTTGGCAGTCAACGCGTCTGCCAATGGAATTTTTTTTATCCCATGGCACACCTGTGCAACTGGAGTGAGGAAAGAGCACATCCTTTGTGCCACTGGATGATGACAGCTGGTGCAGCCCAAGCCCTTGAGAAACAGTTGAACCTGCAGCATCCTCAGGGATGTGCTGCTGACACAGGTTTCTTCTTCAGGTCCCTCGTGTCCTGAGAAAAAAAGAGTTCCAGTCCTGGGAAAAAGGAAGAAGGCCAAACGCAGGAGCATCCAGAGCAACCTGCCGTGGGGTTGTTTATCACGTGGGCAAAGCAGGCTCTGCCTGGGTGGTTTGGGGGCCATTCCCACATGCCAGGCTGCAGAAGGCAGCTGCTGTGCCCGGTCTGCAGGTGGTATCTGGCACCAGAGCACCCCGGCCCTGCAAAGCTCCCAGGAGACACCGTATTATTCAAGGAATGCTCTTGGGAAGGATGACCTGCCTGGGCAGCAGAACACCTGCAGGGCTGGCCAAAACACCGTGAAAAGGAAGGGAAGAGCCTTCCCTTGAGATTTTGAACTCACAGACTTGAGCAGGGTGAACAGATGGGCTGTGGTGCAAGGCCAGGTGGTTTCTTCTGCCAGACAAGTTCAAGTCCTGAGGTCAGTGGTAAAGTGATGCACACCCTGGCATTTCTTGCATTAAATCCTGGAGCTGCTCACCACACTCACAGAGACTGAAACCCCTTTCTCCTGTGTCTACGGCAAGTATATCCCTGGTTCCACCTGGAGAATATCCAACTTCCACATCAGGAAGGTGCTGCTGGCTGGAAGGAGTGGATGCTCAAGTTTGCATTGATTTCAGCTCTCTTCACAGCTGCCTCTGCAATGCCTGGGCATGCTTTGCCATGCAGAACATGCATTTTGCACAGCAGATCCTTTCATAAGTGTGGAGTTACAGACTTCCTGAAAGAAGATGTGGATATATCAAGAAAAGCATTCCTATATCATCTGACTTCCTATGGCCTAGCAGACAGAGTGGTTACACAATTTAAAGAGGGATGGAGACAACAGCTAATTAAAGTTTAGAAGCCAAGCTGTTTGATTTGTTTTGAGCTCTTGGACTCCTCAAATTATTTCAGGTGTGAGCCAGGCCTGGCATTAGATGAGCAGATGGGCTTTATGACTCCCTGGATGCAGAGAGGCAGATTAAGAGAATGAGGCTTTCCAAAAACAGGAGCATAACTTGCCTTGTCAGAAGCTCCCACATCTGTGGGCTGTGGAGAGCCCTGGATGATGTTTGGGAGCAGAGTGGGCTCCTCCTTGTGTAAAGGGTGGTGGAGCTGCAAAAGCACACTCCAACACTCATCCAAGAGTAGTGGGGAGCATCTGGGGGGGACACAGTTTGTGTGGAAGAATTCATATGGTGAGTTATCACTAAACTGATGGCTTTTTATTGTGGAAAATGGGTTCTCCCTCTCAAATGTGCTGCAGAGAAACACCAGTCTGGGAGAGGGAGACAGAAGCCATTTTTCAGTTATTGAAAAAAATTGCTGTACCCCTCGATTTACACCCTGGATGCTGCTGGAAAGCCCCACTATGGGATTAGCTGTGGTCCCCACGGCATTATGGGATGGACCTGGGCACGTCCTTGCTGGCGTCTGTAAGGAGTCCCCTGCCCTGCTGGGAACAGGCAACAGCAGCAGCGACCCGTCACCAGGCTGAGCTGCCTCCCTGCAGAAAACGAGGTCGTTTGGGGACACTTGGAAAACTTCTCGAAATCTGGGTGAAAAAGGCAATATCTCCAAATAAGGTGTGAATGAAGAATCCCATCGGATCGGGCTCCCGGTTCTCCAGCGGGCGTGCAGGGACCTCTTGTGGCAGCTCGGGAGCTCGAGCCCCTGCTCTTCTGTGCGGGTTCCTTTGGGACAAGCCTGGACGACAAGCCTGTGGCATGTGGCTGAATATTTGGCCTGATTTGGTGTCAAGGGACTTGTTTGTAACTGGGCTTGGAAGTCTCCAGTTCCAAAACCGCCCCCGGTTAATACCATTGCTGCAGAGGAAGGAAGACAAGGAGAAAAGGCTGGAAACAGGGCTTGTAAGAAACCACAGCTCAACGGGAAGTCCTGGTAAAATTAAGTAAAATCTGGGCTAAAATGATCCAAAAAGTACTTTGCATGTAGCTGTTGCCAGTGCTCCAGCAGTGGGATCAAAGTCCCTGAACCAGAGGCTCAATTAATCACGGTTTAAATTCCTCCCATGCAGAAGTGGAAGGTAAAAACTCTCCAGTCTCCAGAAACATTTTAACTATTCCTGTTCCCGATCCGAGCCAAATGTTCATCTTTAGAACTACAACACTGCAAATGGAGGAGCCTCTGGGGCAAACGGGGATGGGCTTTCAGGTGCTCCACAGTCTGGGATTTTCCCTGAAGGCAGGTGAAGGGCAGAGCTGTCTCCACGGAAAAGGGCAGTCGAGAATTTTGAGGCTAAAATACTGCAGATGACTTCTCATTCGGAAATCAGCTCTCTGCAATTTTATACTCAATTAATTGTGAAATGATTTTTCTCCTCAGTGCCCTGAGCAGCCCGGCATGTCTCCAAGGCATGTCTCTCTTTCCTCAGCATATCTTATGCTAAACAGAAATGTCTTTGCATTTGGTCTTCTCAGTAACAGATTAGCCTACGTGATCCTTCAAGTCCTAATACACGAGATTATTTATAATCCCCCGAGCACTCAGGGCTGCAGATTACTTCAGGCAGTGTCTCCCTGCCATGTAACTGTTATGAAATTACATTGTCTTGCTCGGCTTTTAAGCAAATTTCTGCAGCATGAACAGATGCTTTTCTATCAGTTGAGACTGTCATAGAATCGTTTAGGCTGGAAAAGAACCTCACCCCTCTCCTGATCTAATTACTCCCCTCCTCAGTGCAATTACTCGCAGATGTTTTAGTGTCCGTCACCCCAGAGCCAGGACAGCGACTGAAAGCTCAGGCACCACACGTTTCTGTTTCAGCAAAGAGGAAGTAGAAGATTTCATCCAAAATTAATACCTCAGAGGAGAGGCAGAGTTTGACATTAATCGGTGTGTACACGGTGACTCATCCTGTCGGCAGAATGGAAGCGAGGGCTGTGCAGCAGCTTCTGGTGGAGACATCAAAAAGCAACAGGGGAGCGATCAAATTACGGGAAGCTGGAAAAGCCGCGTAGTTGTAGGGTAGAACTAAAACTGTGGCTACGGGATCGTGAATTCCCACAATTCCCAGAAGGCAGAGCTGGGGTATCCCAGGCGTTGGGGAGCTCCTCTTGCGACGAGACACGGGACATGGGGGATGGAAGATAACAGGGCTGTGGGCAGAGCATTTTTTTGGCAGGGCAATCAGATCTTTTTCTTTGCTTGGTGTGCGATCAGCCCCGGTAGTGTGGTCTGTGGGGATCCTGACTCAGGGTGAGAGGTTTGGAAAGCTCCAGCCCAAGGAAACGGTGACGGGCATCACCTGCCGGGGATGCTTTGGGGTGAAGGACGCGCCCGCAGCGCCTCGAGTGAGCCATCTGGCCACCCGCTGTCACCGAGGTGGAGGAGGAACCTCAGGGCAGCGAGGAAAGTGTGCCCAGCTCCCGCATAGCGACAGGACACGTGTGCCCCGCTCCGTGCCACGCTCCCAGCCGGCTTTTGGGCTGGCGCCGCTTCTGCCGTGCGATGCCGGGGAAGGCTGACGCACCCCCGGGGGCTGAATTCCCGTCTCCCCCCTCCCCTTGTCCCACGCCCCGAGGGGAAGCGCTGCCGCTGCGCGCCCGCATCTCTGCCCGAGGGAGATGCGGGAACTGCCAGCGCCGGCAGCGGGGCGGCCCCCGCAGCTCCCCGGCCCTTCCCCTCGGGGGTGATGCGCATCCCGGCCGGGGCAGGGCGGTACCGGCGGGGCGGTGCCCGTGCCCGGGGCGGTGCCGGTGCCCGGGGCGGTGCCGGTGCCCGGGGCGGGTCCCGGGGCTGGGCGAAGCAGAGCCCATCGGGCAGCGCGGCCGGTCCCATGGGAGCCCGGGGGTGGCAGCGGGCCGGTGGATGCCCATGGCTTTCAGCCCGGGGCTGCTGGTGGTGGCCGGCTCCTTCGCCGCTTTCCGCCTGCTGAACCGGGGGCTGGAGCGGCTGGTGCCGCCGCCGCCCTCGGCCCGGCGCAACCGCTGGAAGTGGCGCAACATCTGGACATCGCTGGCGCACAGCGTGCTCAGCGGCGGCGGGGCGCTGGCCGGGTGAGCGGCACCTGGGGCCGGGGTGGGCACCGCGGGGGACCGGGGCACCACAGGGCAATGGGGACGTCGAGGGACCCCGACGGGAACCTGCGGCCGTGGGGGCACCGAGGGAGGTTGAGCCCACCGGGGAGAAATGGGGGGACCATGATGAGTGTGGGGACCTGGAGACTGGGGGGCACCGAGAGATGGAGGAAGGTCCGAGGGACAGGGAGGCCAAACAGCAGGGGATAAGGAGACTCCAGGGAAAGCAGGAGGAGAGAGGTGGCTATGGGTGGACCAGCGGGACCAGCAGAACAAGGTGGGCACAGAGGGCACTGGGAAGGCACTGAGGAACCAGAGCCACTGCCCATCACTCACAACTTCTCTGCAGGTTCTACCTCCACCCCGAGCTGTCCAAGGACCTGGTGGGCACACACCCGCCCGGGGCACACAGCCTGGTCGCTGTGTCTGTAGGTGAGGTGGGGGGATTGGGCTTCCCCCTCTTCTGGCCCCCGGGGGGGTCTCCCTGGGCTCGTCGGTGCCTGACACCAGCCCCTCAAGCCACGTCGCAGGCAGCGATGCCTCGGGCACCTCAGACAATCGCCCTATTCTTGCAAAGGACAGTGGCTCCTTTCTGTCCCAGGGCACCCGCAGCCAGGAGGTACAGGGCACCAGGCTGCCCACCACTGCCCTCGGGGGGCAGCCAGGGCTTGGGGCATCCCTAAAGTGCCCATATGGTGTTGGTGGAGTTAGTTAGTGCCTCTTCCTAGAGGCATGTCCTACAGAGTGATTGCAAGAGGGACCCAAACCACACTGATTTCCTTCTGCTGTGTGTAATTGTGCTCTGTATGTGACTCACCACCCACACAGCTGTAGCCATCACTTCCCCAGAGGGGCTGCCCAGCCCAGTCGGGTGCAGAGCCCACTGTGGCATGGGGGTCCCTTGGCACAGCCCTTCTTGGCCCCCTTCTTTGCTCATGGCTTCTCTGATGCCAGGTTATTTCCTTGAAGACTTTGTGGACATGTTGTGCAATCAGAAACTTCACCAATCCTGGGAGCTGCTCTTCCATCACTCTGTGGTGAGTTCACCAGCACATGTACCACCAGGGAGGCTGGGGCTGGGAGACATGAGTGGGGCTCCTGCTGTTGTTAGTGTGGGTATTTGCTGCCTGTTACAAAAATCTGACAGATTTTTCTGCCTGGGGGGGGGAGCCCAGACTGCAGGACACACACACTCTCTGAGGATCTGCAGAAAGACACCAAACATTGGATAGGAAAAGAACACGTGTACACAGCATAGGGCAAAGAGGTCTGGGCTGGGGGGGCTGATCCATAACAGTGACATGGTCAGGCTGTGACCCTGGTGTCCACACTGGCAGCACAGCTCCTGTTGGCTCTCGGCCACTTGAGCATCTGCCAGGAAGGGCTGCACAGCCCCTCCTTCCACCTCACGCTCCCCGAGGTGCTTTCCCATCATCTGGGGCTGGGGTGGCTGGAGCAGCTGTGGTGCAGGACCCCCCACACCAGTGCCTTCTGGCTGCACCCAGCATGGCTTTCTCTTTGATCACCTCTGATGTCCAGACGCTGGAGTGTTTTTCCAACCTAAACCATTCTATGATTCTAAGACTGCGGGTGCTGCAGGGCAGGGGGGTGGCACAGCCTGGAGCTGAGCAGCAGAGACACTGCGGGGTACGGGGAGGCAGAGGGGTGTGCAGGGCCCGGGGTGGGGGACAGGGACAGTGCTGAGACCTACCTGGGATGAGATAGGGGAGGCACTGGTCAGACCTGCTCTCTCACAGAGCCCAGTGAACCAAAAGTTCATCTCCACAATAGAGTTAATTCGAGCCAAGACAGTGACTTAACGGGGAGCAGATAATCTCATTACAGAGCCAGTACAGAGAACAGCATTAATGGCATAAACCAAAGAAAGGACTGAGTGTGCTGGAGCGTGGGCAGGCAGAGCCTGTCTCCCTGCCTGGCAGGGAGGGTGCGGGGCAGGAATCGCCCGCTCTGCCCCCAAGAGCCCTGCAGCACCCAGCAGCCTCAGGGCATCCCACGGGGCTCTCTGATACACCAAAGCCTCTTAATCCCTGCAGCATACCCTGGAGAATCCCAGAGCCAGCTCCAACTGTAGCCCTGGGCTACACGTCTCCCTTCCTGCCCATTCACTGTGTGTGGAAAAACCTGCTGGGCCACACCCGACTGTGTTCCCTAGGCCACAAAACCAGGGTTAGGTCAGGCTGCTTTGTCTCCTCTGCCAACCTGGAGCTTATAGAATTGTTTTCCTTCTCCTCCCACTGGAACAAAAAAACCACTCAGGTTTCATGCAAGGGTTGAAAGGTTTTATTTTATGCCTGAGGCTGCAGCACTGGCCGGAGGCTTTGATGCTGCAGAGATGTGTGGGGTGATGACCAGTGGCCTGGCACTGCTGTGATAATCCTTTCCACCTCTGCTCCATGCTGTGCCCCAGCCTAGAAGGTTCCAGCTGTCAGCAGCTGAGAACGACCAGCCTCTCTTCCTCCTCCTTTCCAGGTGATTGTTTGCTTTGGAATTGCTGTGCTGCTCCATCAGTACGTCGGCTTTGCCCTCGTGGCTTTGCTGGTGGAGATCAACTCCATCTTCCTCCACCTGCGGCAGATCCTTCTCATGGCCAACCTGGTGCACACCACCTGCTACCGCCTCAACAGCATCGTCAACCTGGGCACCTATGTGGTGTTTCGCATCGCCACGCTGGCCTGGATGACCCGCTGGCTCTTCCTCAATCGACAGAACGTGCCCCCGGCGACGTATGCGGTGGGCACGGTGGGCATGGCAATCATGACACCCATGAACATCATCCTCTTCTATCGCCTGCTGCGGAGTGACTTCCTCAAATCCAGCCGGGACGTGCAGCGGGAGAAGGAACAATAGCCCCCCCTTCCCTGCGGGGTCAGGGGGATGAGCTGCTCTGAACCCACAGCAAAGCACAGTGGAGGGTGAATGTGGCTGTTTCAGTACCTTGTGTGGAGGGTCTGCACTAACAGAGCATCCAGGCTTTTCTTGTGGCTGAAGGTCCTGGGCCCTGCACAGCACAGGAGGTGCTCATGGAACAGGCACTGTGGCTCTGCTCCCCAAAGACCTTTGGATGATGTGGTTGAACAAGCGGGAGCTGCTCAGAGAAGCCTCGACGGCTCTCGCAGCTGCCCAGGGCACCACTGAGATGAGAAGGGAGCAGTGGAGCAGCGTTTCCCCACTGCTCCTCTGGACATCCAGACACCACAGTGTGTTTCTAACCCCGTCAGTGCTGCAGCCCCCAGCGTCTCATCGGTCACGGGACACTGCATCCTTTGTGGCACTTCCCGTGGGAGCACCACCAGGAAAGACAGGCCTTCGAGGCCAGTAAAAGCCAAATCCTGCACTGATGAGCCCTCCCCGAGGAGATTGTCCCAGGTGGGTGATGGAGGGAGAGGCTGAGACCTGGCTGGGTGGGCTGCTGCCCATGGTGGTGTCCAGGTCAGGGGGAAAACACTGGGCAGTGGGTGCTACAGCACCACCCTCTCGTGAAAACTGGAACATTTTTCATGTTGTTTTGTCTCACATAGTTGAAGTGCCCTTAAACAAGCTTGGGAGAGCGCAAGTCGCTGGAAGGATGATGTTATGTGATGGTCACTTCCCACAGATGTGGAGTTTTCAGGCATAGGCACCTTTAGGACTTAGACATCTGTTAGGAATGACAAGTTGTGCTGCAGAGCCCAACACTTACCCACCAGCAAAGGCTCTTACTAACACCAGCTTTTAATAAATGGCTGTAAATGAAATGGCTTGAGGGGAAAGGACTTAGAGGAAAAAAGGACTCAGCATCGCAGCCCACTCCAGGGCTGTCACTGCTCAGCACAGTCCTTATCCCATGTCTCCCTGCCATGGAGGGAAAATACACTATACACTGGCACACTCTACCTCTCTTGGGGTTTTTTTTCCCCCTCTCCTTTCTGTGGAGGAAGATGAAGGTTTCTCCTATTCCTGCTGACATTCTCCTGCCCTCCTATGCAAGGGAAGGCTGCGCTTTCCTTGGAGCTGGCAATAGGGAGGCTGGATGGTGGCAGGATGGGAGCCAGCCCCGCTGTGGCCCTGCCTTTAGCCCTCCTGCACCGAGTCACCTGTGGGGTCAGGGCGGTGCTGGCTCTGAGCCAGGGCAGGCTCTGGGCTGAGAACGCGGCCCGTGGCTTCGCTGCTTCCATTCCCACTGCGGGATGCTGGCTTGCAGCAAAGCTTCCTGCCTTCTCACAGAATCATTTAGGTTGGAAAAGACCTCCGAGACCATCGAGTCCAGCCTATGACCAAACACCAGCACATCAACAAGACCATGGCACCAAGTGCCACATCCAGTCTCTCCTTAAACACCTGCAGGGATGGTGACTCCACCATCTCCCTGGGCAGCCCATTCCAATGTCTAATCACCCTTTATGTGAAGAATTTCTTCCCAATGTCCAACCTAAACCTCCTGTGACACAGCTTGAGGCCATGTCTTCTTGTCCTATTGCTGGTTCCCTGGGAGCAGAGTCTGACCCCCACCTGGCTCCACCCTCCTGTCAGGGAGCTGTAGAGAGCAAGAAGGTCCCCTCAGTCCCTCTTTTCTCCAGGCTGAGCCCCCCCAGCTCCCTCAGCTGCTTCTTATAGGACTTGTGCTCCAGACCCTTCCTCAGCTACATTGCCCTTCTCTGCGTATGCTCCAGCAGCTCAATGTCCTTCCTGAATTGAGGGATCAGAGCAGGACACAGCACAGCGTAACTATTCCAATTTCATTTGCTCTGCCTGTCCCTGGAGGCTCCCTAAGACAAGGAATCAGAATTTTTAAATGTATTTTACTCCACATTTCCCTTTCACCACAAATTCTCACACACTGAACGGTTCCCTAGCAGCCCAGCACTGTGTATATAACGAGATCATCCCACTTGGAGTTACGTGTACCAGCTTAGAGAAATCCACTGCATGAGTCGCGTTTCCTGTGTGGCAAATAAGCTTTAACACAAATTCCCTCATTTGGCTTGAAAAGCCTGGGGACAAGCTGACACAAGGCACTGCTCAAGAGAGGGTTTTGAGGAGGGAGACACATTCCTGCTGGGCAGGGAAAGACGTGATCCATGGACAGTGGGAGACAATGCACAGCCAAAGCAGCTTACGTTTCTATTTGTGGAGAGCACAGGGAAAGCTTCCAGGTGCTGCAGATACCTACTCCACGTTTGGGTTTGTCACCTCAAGTGGTGTTTAGGTGCAGTGTGCTGCTCACAGCTCCCAGCTAGAGTGGAATTGTCATCCAGGCATTTGGTTTGACCTGTTTATGCCCAGTTTTCCAGGAGCTGCTCTGCTGATCTGTGCTCTCATAACAGCCTCTGCTCACAACGCTGCCTCTGCCCTCCGGCCTCTGCCCACACCAGGGAAGTTTCTCAAAGCCTGGATTGTGTTGCCACATTCCTGCCGTCACATGGATGTTGTGAACCCCAGGCACACGTGGGGTTGGGGGTCAGGGGAGCCTGGTTTTGGAGCCTGTAGTCTACTGTGATTTTCCCACAGGGCTGAGGTGGAACAAGCAGCAGCTTTGCATGTCACTGAGGCCGGACGTGGGGATACCCTGTGCTTGTCCATCCTGATGAAAAGCGCCACAACCCTAGCTTGAAGGGTTTTGGGAAGGACCTACCCCTCCATTGCCCCCATTCAGGGGATCATGGGGCTGGAGCGAGCATCTCCATCCAGGAATTAGTTGCCAGGAGCAATGTCCCAGCCTGCCACCCACTCACCGCCCCTTCAGCCACATCCCACGGGCCGATATCCCCCCAGAACAGCCCCCTGTCCCCACGGGGACCCCCAGGGGACCCTCCGCCCTGGTGGGGTGTGAGTGCCCGGCTGCTGGCTGACCCACGACAACACATTAATCCCACTTCTGTGCCTACAGCGAGCTGGGCCTCATGTTCTCACAGACGGGGGGCAAACTCTGGGGGCTGGGGGGCACCTGTGACCCTGGCGGGGGCAAGAAGGGAGCACCAAGGTAGGGGGTGGCTACTTGCTGGGGCATTAGGGGCCATAGTATGGCCATGGGGGCAGTGCTAGGAAGGGGGAGGCATCACTCTCTGGGGTGCAGCATCCTCCTGCCCGCCGGGGGTCGCGGGGTGGGGTTCAACCCCTGGGGGGGACGAGGGGGCTGGGTGAGGCAGGCTCTGCCCCCACTGTGGGGCTGTTACAGGCCCCGTGAGGGATGTCTCAAGAGGAATGTCCCCAGGATGCCCCCGGGATGTCCTCGGAGGGTCTCCCCTGCCATATGCCCCTCACAGGGGGGCCCCCGTCCCGGGGAGCCGCACAGCGCCCCCTACCGCCGGGGCGGGGTGTGACGAGTCAGGCGCTGTCCAATCAGAGGCGGCGCCGCGCTGTCACGGCCGCTTCCCTCCGCCAATCGGAAGCAGCGAAGGGCAGGACCCACAACTTCCTCCCCTCTTCCGCCCTCGGTCCCGCCCAGGCCCCTCATCCGCGCTGTGATAGGCCTCACCTGCTGTCTCTCAAGTTGCCCGAAAGCTGATTGGGCAGCGCGCGGCCGCGCGTCCTGCCCACATCCGGGTCTCCGAGGCGCGGCGGCGGGGCCGCCATTGTGGTGAGGGGAGCGCGGGGGCCGCGGCCGCCGGTGAGGGCGGGCGAGGGGTGGCGGGGCCGGGGCAGGCGCGGGGCGGGCGGGGGAACGGCCGGGGGGCGGCCTCGCGGCGTTCCCGCACCTCGCCCTGAGCCCCTCTCCACCCTTCTCGCAGGTGCGTCGCCATGGCCGCCGTGTTCCCGTACCGCGGCGGCTGCGCCCCGGTGCCCAACCCGCTGGCGCCGCTGCCCGACTACATGTCCGAGGAGAAGCTGCAGGAGAAAGGTGGGTAGGGCCCCGGCGCCCTAGAGCCTCCCCGGGGTGGGGGGGGCCAGGCCCTGAGCCGCCGCCGCTCTGTGTCCCCGCAGCCCGCAAATGGCAGCAGCTGCAGGCCAAGCGCTATGCGGAGAAGAGGAAATTCGGGTTCGTGGATGCGCAGAAGGAGGACATGCCCCCCGAGCACGTCCGAAAGATCATCCGCGACCACGGCGACATGACCAACAGGAAATTCCGGCACGACAAGCGCGTCTACCTGGGGTAAGGGACCCCCCCCACCCCGGGATGTGGCACCTGGGCAACCGAGGGCATCCTCCTCTGATCCTTCTCTGACGCCTTGTCAGAGCTCCTTGTTGATGGTCTAAAGGGAGAGACCCTTCTCCAGAGGGTTCTTCCGTATTAGTTGTAGCTCATCCGTTGCCCCGAGGATTCGGTGCAGAAGAGGATCAGCAAAGAGAGTTGTTGTTTTGAATTTATGAGGGAAAAAACCCTCTTAATTACCCATTACTCTGGATGATAACACATCGTTGAATGACCTGTTACCCTTTGGAGAAGGGGCTCTCCCTGTCAGTTGTAGCTCAGTGAGGATGCCCTGAGGTATCAGTGGAGGAAGCTGTGGCTTTGAATTTGTGAGGAAAATGTTACCCAGGATAATACATCCTTGAAGGGAAAGCCCCTTCTCCAAAGGCCTCTCTGTGTCAGTTGCAGCTGATCTGTTGCCCTGAGGTATCAGTGCAGAAGGGGATCAGCAAAAAGAGTTGTTGGTTTGAATATGTGAGAAAAACCTTTACCCTGGGCAATATGTTGTCTTGGAAGACATTGAGGGAGAGTTTGAAGTAGCTAACATACTTTTTTTCAGGATTAAAAAGCATCCTGAATGCGTCTTTGCTGTTTGGATACAGAGAGTTGTCTCGTGCACATCATGATCTGTTGCACTAACTTACCATTACCTATAAAAACTCCAGAAACTCCCTTAAAAAACTTAATCTTTTTTCATAACATTCTTGGAAGCCAAATCAGTAGAAAGCTTTTTGGTGGTGCAGTGTCTGAAGCACAAGGATAGAGTGGGAAGTTCATGGGTTTGTCACTGGGAGCCTTTGTGAACAGGTCAGATGAGCAACGTGCAGGAGGGAAAGGTGTGAAGGTTTGTGGCAGGATGGCTGTTCTCAAGACCAATTCCAACCCTGGTTTTCCTTGATTTCTAACTGTAGAGCACTGAAGTACATGCCTCATGCTGTGCTGAAGCTCCTGGAGAACATGCCGATGCCCTGGGAGCAAATCCGAGACGTTCCGGTCCTCTACCACATCACCGGTGCCATCTCCTTTGTGAACGAGATCCCCTGGGTCATCGAGCCCGTGTACATTGCTCAGTGGGGGTAGGTGCCTTCTTCCCTCATCCAGGGGGGACAAACTCTTGTGCTTCCACCCTAAAAGCCTCGTTTAACCATCTCTGGGTTCCTGCAGGTCAATGTGGATCATGATGAGGCGGGAGAAGAGGGACAGGCGTCACTTCAAGAGGATGAGGTTCCCCCCGTTTGATGATGAAGAGCCCCCTCTGGATTATGCTGATAACATCCTGGATGTGGAGCCCCTGGAAGCGATCCAGCTCGAGCTGGATCCCGAGGAGGATGCCCCTGTGCTGGACTGGTTCTACGACCACCAGCCGCTGAAGGACAACAGGAAGTACGTGGCTCTGGTAGCACAGTTCAGTGGGAGAGGGGAAAACCAAACACACCACGTGAATTACCTGTGATGTTGGTGGGGAGAAAAAAAAAACTTCCCTCAAGAATGAGAGGGAGAACCTGACTGATGTAAAGCTGTTATCTCTTGTCTTCAGGTTGCTCAGAGAAGCAGGGGCTGCCCCATCCCTGGAAATGTTCAAGGCCAGGTTGGGTGGGGCTTGGAGCAACTTGGTCTAGTGGAAGGTGTCCCTGCCCGTGGTAGGGGATTGGAACAAGATGAGCTTTAAGGTCCCTTCCAATCCAAACCATTCTGATTTATCATCCAGCAAGGGCAAATGAGGCCCCTCTGCCCCGGAGGGCTGCTGCCCACTTAAGTGCTAAA